CTCTCCTTGGTGGATGATCGTGGCAGGTCCTGGGCTGTGGAGCGCTTCTCTCCGAGTTGTTTCGGCCTTCTCGTGCGTAGCGCTGTGCGGCGTGCTATCGAGCGGGAGGAGCAGTCTAAGCAGTATGACTTCCGAGAGTGGAGTGGGCCTATCCATTGGGCCCCCTTCTATCAACTTTTAGCTAGGAAAAACAATGATTGTTGGACCAAGGGGCACAAGGCTGTCCTTTCGGCGATCTTGGCGAATGCATATTGGTCGCGGGTCCGTATCTCAGCCCATAGTCCCGAATCTGGCAAAGAGTGTCAGTTGTGTGGTGAAGCAGTAAGGAATCTCTTCCATCGGCGTTTCCATTGCTGTGCTTTCGCCGCCTGGCGCCGCGAGAACCTGGATCCCGTGGTGGAGGAGGCTGCTCGCAATCTTGGCCATCTGTCCGGGGAGGCTCGGGAACTTTTTAGCAGGTGCATGCTCCCAGACCCCACGTCATGCCTTCGGAGGCCTCCGAGGGACCCGCTGGACCCGTGCACGCGTCACTTTCAATGGCCACAGGACGGCCCCTTACTCATCCCCGAGGGGGCCCATGTTTTCACGGACGGATCGGGGTTCGAGGGAAGCATGCCTGGCCTGCGTACGGCGGGATGGGCCGTCGTAGTTCTGGACAGAGAAGGCCGAAACTTGGCGGCGCTCTTCGGCGTAGTACCCCTGGCCGAGGCGCCAGATCAGCTGGCACGCGACGGAGAGAATTTCGCAGTGCTCATGTTGTCTCGTCTAGCGGTCCTCGGACCCCAAGTCTCCCTGTACATCGATTGTGCCGGCACGGTCGGCTGCCTCCGAGATCCCTCGGGAGCCGCCGGTGTGAAGTCAGCCAGGGCACAGTGGTGGGCCGAGCTCGGCGATCGTTTAGAAGGTCTGACAGTGTTTAAGATTCCCGCCCACACGTCGATGAAGGACGTGAGAGAGGGCAAGATCACGGACCTTCAAAGGTTCGGAAATTCAGAAGCAGACCGGCTCGCGAAACAGGGAGCTGAGCAGCATCGCATAAGTGCCCAAGACAGGCTCCGTGTGTCAGGCTGCTCCGAATTCGCTCGCCGTCTCGGCATCTTCTGTGCGTCTCAGCAGTTCGATTGCAGGGAGCTTGCTAAGCAAGATCATGTAGGCTTCGAGTGGCTCAACTATGTTATGCTAGATGCGATCCCGGGCTTCCCCATCCCTTCCTCCTCGGGGGTGGGGTCTGAGTCTGCTGCTGCCGATGCTGCTCCCCCTCCGTCGTCTTGTGGCCCTGTTGAGGCCCCGAGGCCCCGATCGGCGCCTCACCAGGAGCCTGGAGGCAGATGGGTCACCTGCTGGAGCAGGCCGACATATATGAAGCCGATCGCGAGACCTTTCATGATAGTTTGCTCATGTGCGTAAGGTGCGGCAGCATGGCGCACACCAGCTCGAAACGTGGCAATCTTCGTTCGTCGTGTCGCCCTGTCGCTGGCGGAGGTCGTGGCTTCTATCTTAATAAGTTTCGAGCTGGTATCCTGACCATAGAAATCCAAAGGGGTTTGTTTGGGCACATGTGGGAGCCCCGGCCCCCGAGGTCAGGGCCGAGTGGCTTCCTTTCTTTTCTGCCTGGGCCCAGGGCTTCCGGGGCCCGCGAAAATCGCGGAGCTCACCAAGTCGGCCGCGCGCGAGGGGCGGCTAGCCCCGCCCGCCGCCGACTGGCAGCGCGTCCTGGCGTTGTACGGCCTATCGGACGCGGCTGCACAGGCCCTGGGGAGGCGGGCTGAGGAGCGGAAGGCCCAGGGTGGGGAGGAGGAGGAGGAGGAGGAGGAGGAGGAGGAGGAGGAGGAGGAGGAGGAGGAGGATGTTCTCTCCCTCCTGACTCCTGGCCTAGCTCCAACTTTTTGTCTGTGCATGTGAATTGGGTCGAACCCTTCTCGGATGCGCGCGTCCGAGGGTAAACAGACCTGGCGGGAGGGAGGAAGGGAACGGGCAAAGGGCCGGGGCAGGCCGAGAGGGGCGGCGGCTCTGCAGGAACCAAGAGCAGGAGGAGGGCGATCAAGAGCAGCAGCAGGTGGGACAGGGGGAGAAGGGAAAAGCATCAGCGATGAGACGCGCAAGCCAAATCGCACCCGCAGGGGCCCAGGATCGGCGGAGGAAGGAGGAAGAGGAGGAGGAGGGCTGTGCACATGCTCTGATCCTGGCCAGGCTAACCCTGAGCCCAGGATGGGTGCATTACGCCAACCTGGCTTGGCCAGGGAGGCATACGCACCGGTCCTGGGCAAGGACCGATCAGTGTGCACGCTTCCCGTCGGCCGAGGGGCAGGCACGAGCAAGAGCAGGCCAAGTCGAGAATCCTTGGCCAGCTCCTCCTTGTGCCTGGCCACGCTCTCTGGGTCCAGTCCGCCTCCCGCGGGCGCGTCTCTGGCCGGAGGGCGGTCGACAACGGGCGCGACTGCGCGTCGCCTCCGGCGTCGTGCTCAGCGACCGGATCGTGGTCGAATCCTTCGCGTCGACGCTGGAACGGCGCCAGGGGGGGGGGGGCAGCCGTCTAAAGAAGCAGAGGAGCGCCGCCGAATGGCACGGCCTGACGGCTTCTGAAGAGCCCACGGCCTTCGACGAAGGCCGCCCCCCTCGCGCAACCCCCGATCCCAGTTTCTGGACACTTCCCGGGGTACACCCCGGCAGGTTTGCTCCGAGCCGCGTCCAGCCGCGGCGACAAGAACCTCCAGAAACGTTTGTTCGAGAACCTTCAGAACAACGACGTGGTCTAGGACGACGGCGCCTTCAGCGGGGGACGAGAAGGAGCTCTGCGCGCCCCCAATCACGCTGACAGTCGCCTGGCGCCCCCCACCACCCCCCGCCTGCGCCGCTGTCGTGCCGCTCACGCTGGCAGGGAAGGGCATGTCGCCACTCGGGAGTTCGGAGGGGGTGCTCGCAAGAGAAGCGGGGGGAGACGGACAGAGAGAGGGGGCCTCCTCCCGTCCAACTTCTTGCTCTTCCTCCTCATCCACCTCCCCATCATCCTCCCCTCTTTCCTCCGCTCTTTCCTCCCCGTTCTTCGTATCCCAATCCTCCCCTCCTGCTTCCCCCACTTCCCCATCCACCGTCCTCCCTCCGTTCCCTCTCCCCCGTATGTTAGTTCCTCATTCTTGTTCTGCGTAAAACAATGTCCTGCCTCGCCTTACTCGAATGGAAAAGGAGCCTGAGAAAATGTGTAACGACGTCGAGGTTGGTCGACAAGTGATCAGCACGCCAGCGATGCGCCAAAACTTGCCTTAGAGTCGATGCTCTCATCCTCTTGCTCCGTCCTCCTCAACCTTCGTCCACCTCCGCCTGAACTGGCTCCCGTTCATGCTCACCTGGCTCGTCCCCGTGTTCATTATCCTCCTTCCTCCTCCCTCCTCTCCATTTTCCCCTTCCCTCCTCCTCCTCCTCGTCCTCTTCCTCCTGCTCCTCCTCCTCCTCCTCCTCCTCCTCCTCCTCCTCCTCCTCCTCCTCCTCCTCCTCCTCCTCATCATCATCATCATCATCATCATCATCATCATCATCATCATCATCATCATCATCCGCATCCTCATCCTCATCCTCATCCTCATCCTCATCATCATCAACAACATCATCATCAACATCATCAGCATCAGCATCAGCATCAGAATCGCCAGCATCATCAACAGCATCATCATCATCATCATCATCATCGTCATCATCAGCATCATCACCATCATCATCATCATCATCATCATCCTCATCCTCATCCTCATCCTCATCCTCATCCTCATCCTCATCCTCATCCTCATCCTCATCCTCCTCCTCATTATCCTCCTCCTCATCATCATCATCCTCCTCCTCATTATCCTCCTCCCCATCCCATCCCCTCCCCTCCCCATCCCCTCCCCTCCAATCCCCTCCCCCTCCCTTCCCCTCCTCCTTCCCTCCCCCTCCTCCTCCCTCAACCTCCGCGTCCTCCCTCCTCCTTTCCTAACCTCCACCTCCTCCTCCTCCTGTTCCTCCCCTCCTGTTTCCTCCTCCTCATCCTCCTCCTCCTCCTCATTGTCCTCCTCACCTCCTCCCCCTCCCTCCTCCTTCTCCTCCTCCTCCTCCTCCTCCCTCCTCCTCCGCCTCCTCCTCCCCTCATCATTCATTATCCACCTCCATTCCCTCCCCTCCTACCCCTCCCCATCCCCTCCCTCCAATCCCCTCCCTTCCTCCTCCCTCCCCCTCCCCCTCCTCCGTCCGACTCCTCCTCCTCCTCCTTCCTCCTCATCCTTCCCCTCACTCCCCTCCTCCTCCTTCCTCCTCCTCCTCCTCCTCCTCCCTCCTCCTCCCCCTCCTCCACTAATCCACATGGTTTCCTCCCTCCTTCTCCTCATCCTCCTCCTCCTCCTCCTCTTCTGCTGCTGCTCCTTCTTCCTCCGCCTCTTCCTCGTCCTCCTCCTCGTCCTCCTTCTCGTCCTCCTCCTCCTCCTCTTCGTATTATTGTTCGTGTTGGTAGTCAGATCATTAGTCATAGCACCATTACTGTTACATATGGTTTTATTGTTAGTATTTGCGTTAGTAGTAGCATTCGCCTTGTTATTACTATGAATTACTCTTCTTGGTGGTAGTATTCCTATTCTTCTTAGTATGATTGTGCGTTTTCGCTTTCGCATCATCTGTCTTCGTATTCTTACTAGTACGCTTATGAGTAGAATGATTACTATTATCAGATTCCTCCTCCTCCTCCTACTCCTGCTCATCCTCCTCATCCTCCTCCTCCTCCTCCTCCCCCGCCCCCGCCCCCTCCCCCTCCCCCTCCTCCTCCTCCCCCTCCCCCTCCCCCTCCCCCTCCCCGCCCCCTCCCCTCCCCCTCATCCTCCGCCTCCTCCTCCTCCTCCTCCTCCTCCTCCTCCTCCTCCTCCTCCTCCTCCTCCTCCTGCTTCTCCTCCATCCCTCTTCCTTATAAATAATTTTTCCCTGTCGCACCCCGAGGCCAGTTTTCAGGGCGGGCCGGCCGTTTCGCCTGAGACTTCCTCACCATTTATGACCCTGGCGATGAAAAAGTGGCCTCGGTTTCACAAATGGAAAGCGGGTGGCTTTCAAAATGCGGCTCTCGCCTACGCGCCACGCACATTCGTTGTGAATATTGACAAGAGCTTCACGGATTGAGGGCGGGTCGTTTTCACAAATGTGGCTCTCGCCTTAGCGCCACGCACATTCGTTGTAAACGTTGGCAACAGTTTCACAGACTGAGGGCGGGTCGTTTGAAAAATGTGGCTCTCGCCACAGCGCCACGCACATTCGTTGCGAAAATTGACAAGAGCTTCACGGCTTGACGACGGGTCGTTTGCAAAATGTGGCTCTCGTCTTAGCGCCGCGCAAGTTTTTCAAAATTGTCCAAGGGCTTCACGGACTGAGAGCGGGTGGTTTTCAAAATGTAGTTTTCGCCTAAGCGCCGCGCATGTTATTTGCAAACATTTGCAAGATCTTCACGGATTGAGGGCTGGTCGTTTGAAAAATGTGGCTCTCGCCACAGCGCCGCGCACATTCGTTTCAAACATTTGCAAGAGCTTCACGGATTGAGGGCGGGTCGTTTTCAAAATGTGGCTCTCGCCTTCGCGCCGCGCACATGCGTTTCAAAGATTTGCAAGAGCTTCACGGATTGAGGGCGGCTCCTTTTCAAAATGTGGTTCTCGCTCTATCGCCGCGCACATTCGTTCACAAAACTTGGAAGAGTGTCACGGATCCCATGGTACAGGTACAAGAAATGGCGTTTGGGGATTATGCGGGTGCAACAATTATGTTGGCTCGCGGTGTCGAAGTCCAAAAACTAGCGTTATGGCACTGTTGCAGATCGTCAAGACGCAACAGTCATGTTGATCCGTTGCGTTGAAATCCCGAAAACAATGTTTGGGCATGCTCCAGGGTCTTCAAAGGTGTTTTCCAACGAAGCACTTCCCTCAATGGGAATGAGCCGTTGCAGGGGCCTATGAAGAGGGAGTTTGGGGGGAACTCTTTGGCTTACACTGGTCCTCCTCCTCCTCCCTTCCTTTTCCTTATAAACAACTTCTCCCTGTCTCACCCCGGGGCCATTTTTTAGGGCGGGCCGGGGTGTTCGCCTGTGACTTCCTCACTATTTCTGACTCTGAAGCTTACAACTTGACAACGGTTTCGCAGATAGAAGGCGGGTCGTTTTCAAAATGTGGCTCTCGCCTTAGCGCCGCGCACACTCGTTTTAAACATTTGCCAGAATTTCACAGACTGGGAGCGGTTCGTTTTCGAAATGTGGCTCTCGCCTGAGCGCCACGAACATTCGTTGTAAATATTTGCAATTGGAGGCGGGCCGTTTTCAAAATGTGGCTCTCGCCTTAGCGCCGCGCACATTCGTTTCCAACATTTGCAAGAGCTTCACGGATTGAGGGCGGTTCCTTTTCAACATGTGGCTCTCGCCTTAGCGCCGCGCACATTCGTTATACAAAGTCGCCAGAATTTCACTGGTTTCCATCATCAACGTACCAGAAATGGTGCTTTGTAAGATTCGGGATTCTGCGGGCGCAATCGTTACTTTGATTCTCTGTGCTGAAGTCCCTGGAATGGCGTTCTGGTGCGATTCAGGCTCGTCAAAATATAACAGACAGGTTGATCCGTAGGGTGGAAAACCCAAGAATAATGTTTTGGCATGCTTCAGGGTCTTCAAACGGTTGTCTTCCAACGAGGCAGCGCCCTCAATGGAAATGAACCGTTGTAGGGGCCTATGAAGAGGGAGCTTGGAGGGAGGGTTTACTCCAACATCATTGGTGACTCTTGGGTTTACACTGGTCCTCCTCATCCTCCTCCTCCTCCGCCTCCTCCCTCCCTCCCTCCCTCCATCACTCCATCCTTCCCTCCCTCCCTCCCTCCCTACCGCCCCCCCGCCCTCCCTCCCTCCCTCCCTCCCTCCCTTCCTCCCTCCCTCCCTCCCCCCCACGTCCTCCTCCTCCCCCTCCTCCTCCTCCTCATCCTCCTCCTCCTCCTCCTCCTCCTCGTCTTCCTCCTCCTCACCCCTCACTCCCCACCCCGCACTCCTCACTCCTCAATCCTCACTCCTCACGCCTCACTCCTTCCTCATCCTCCTCATTCCTCTTATTCCTTTCCTCCACCCGTTATCCGTTATCCGCTATCCGTATACACAGACCTTTCCTGTCGCACGACCAGACGCGTCGGTAGGGCAGGCAAGGCGCGTCGCCTGATGCCTGCGCACATAGTACGACCCTGAGACTGGAAAGTTCCAGCAGCAGCTACAAGGATGGAGGTCAGTACGCTTCCATCATGGAGTTCGCAACTCAGCATCGTGCACTATAGCCTTAATAGGTTGCAAGTGTTACAGGTATGACGAAAGCTCGTTCTCCAAACGAGGCTCTCGCATTAGCGCCGAGCACGTTCGTATCAAAGCTTGCAGTCGCTACAAGGATCGAGGGCGGCTCCGTTCCACGCTGGGGATATCGTCTTAGCGCCGCGCGCGTTCGTCTGACAAAAAATTGAACAGATACAGGGCGTAAG